TATTTTTATTCAACATTAATTACAGTATTTTATTACAGTTCAAATAGACAGTTCTTGCATAATGTCTTACATGTATTACTGATTATGATATATAGTTATTTTTATAAGAATACTTTAAATTTTATTTAACCAGGAGAATCAAACAAACATAACTGAACAAAGCAATTATAATAATTAATATAAAATGAGATGCACAAAAGCAATTTATATATATGTATCAAAATAGCATATAAAGGATATAAATAAATTACTCACCACGCAGCAACGACGTAAGTAATATAAAAGATTAAGAAGATTTAAAGAATCCGTAATATAACTGGTTTATACTGGCTAAACTGACATCTCCTTCCCGTTTTAAAAGAGTGAGTTTGAGGTTAGGTTGAACAATTAATCGACGTATCACGTAATTTTCAGTGTCTCTTACTTTAGTTTTAACCACTTTGTACATGTGATGTTGCGAATAAATACCTAAGAGTTATTAATATATTTTTTAAGAAGTACTGATTCTGGATTACGTTCTTAGTGCGAAAATAGATGGACAAGTTAGCATATAACAGAACTTATGTATATAAATTATTTTCTGCTACGACATAAGCCGCATTGTAATACTATAAGTTTGCAGAAATGTGGATCAATGATTATCACATAATTATAATGAAATATATAAACATATAATGAATTGAAGAGACCCTCCCTACCTTGTTCAACGAACCACTAGAGCAATTGTACCAGAAATGTATTTCTCACAGTCAAAAGTCAACATCAATATAAAACTTGTTTTGTAGTTTGGTCTATAAAAATGATATTAAACATAGTGTCAGCGTCATCAAATATTTAACTAATCTATTAATTTGGATATTTTGTACTACCTAAACGCTGCACGGTTAAATAAAATTTTTTCGCAGCTCAGCTTTATTTCATTTTATTGCCGTTTCGAGACAGCATGCCTTTTTCGCAGGGATGCCAAGTGTAGAATTAGTTTCTCACTAGTACGAATAATTTTTGAAAAGACGTGAATATTGATGTTCCGTTAATAATTTGTGCTGCTTTAATATTAATAATAACTTGATATGAAGAAGTTAAATAATTCTTGTAAGAGGATTGTAAAATTTAAACAATTTATTATAAATAAATGACTATAGAAGAAATGCTTTATACAATTTTATTTTATGTATGTTTGTAATTTTTGTGTTGAGCTTTTAAAATTTATATTAATTGTTTTAGTCATAAAGAAATGTTATGTTTCTGAATTAAAATTAAATATTGGAATTGGTATTCGTTTGTATTAACTATTAATATTGTAATACCGATAGAGTATATAACTACAGTCGATATAATATCTTATCACAGACGAGGTATAGGACTTTGTACAACTGGTGGCCTGAATGTTCCATCTGTAATTCACACAAGTAGAACATTAATTTTTCAATTTTCAATAGAAGTTATAAACAATTTCCAACTAATCTACTGTCTGCATTTGTTAATACAATGTAAAATTAAGAAATGAAGCTTGTTTATTAAGTCAAATAATGTAACAAATTCATTTAATACTTGCAATAATTATTAACTACCATCTAAATTGTTACTTAACACGAAACACTAATTATTCTATAAATAAAGTACTTGAAAATAAGCGAGAAACTGTATTTTACTATCTACATTATTAGTAATGTTAAAACAATTAAAAATTGATTATAAGAATCAATTAAATATAATAGGGATGACGGGGATAGCAATAGCGAAGAGAGACAAGGAAACGAATAGCGTTAGATAAGGATAGTACTAGAGAAATGAATTAGACAAGGAAAGGAATAACGATAGACAAGGACAGAATATTTTCTCCCTATACCTTTCCTTGTCTTACTCATGTAACATCGAGAGAATCATCAGAAATGAAGTATTATCAGGTTAGTTGATTTTTAAAGTAGTAATTCTTTAAATTTTTCTCTTTTAACAATAGTTATTGTAAATTAGAGTATAATTACATATAGTAAACAGTTTAAAATTGATACTTACAACAAATTTTTAATTGCTTTGACATTACTAACAATGTACATAGTAATGTAGATAGTAGAAAATTAATATTCTTTTCGTATGAATTACAGATGTACATTGCAGAACACCATAAAAATCAAGGAAGGGACTTGAACATCAGGAAAAATGAAGAAATTCAATTATTTATTGGAAGATAAGTGTACAAAAGGTATTTTACAAAAGGCTACAATATACCAGTATTGCTTTACAGCATTTTACAGTCTGTCGTATACTTTATTTGTAATTTCACAGCTACGTTTAGTTCTAATTTCAACCACTACCAATGTTGTAATCTTATTCTATACCGAATCGGTAATATAGGAAGCGACACGAAAGTGGTAAGAGCACTCTAAGCCCTCCTCACGTGGACAGAAAAATGCATTAGGTGTTAGGTCTATCCCTATATCTCTCCTGTGATAGTAATAATGATTTAAATATAAATTTATGTTTTTATACAATTATATATTTGGTGAAAGTGTTATACGTTACAAGAAACATTTGTAATTACTTGTAGTAGAAGCTTTATCAAGTGGTATTATATGTATCTATTTAAAATACTTTTTCTCATTGTAGAATATTTTAAAATAAGCAAAATAGTTGGTAACATAAAGTCCTTAATAATGTCTACCCTCATTTTTGTTATTTTTTAATTTAGAAGTATTCTTCGTTACCGACGAGCTTCCAAATGAAGCTAATAAAATCTGTTGATATCTTGACACGAAACATGGAGAACCGGCTGCAACCCATTCTAAGCAGAATATTATAATCAAGGGACACTAATAAGTATAGAGAAATGTTGCTGTACAATAATTAACAAGGACTGCAGCATCGTGTTTTCAGTCCCTCGTAATTAGAAGTGCAAGTTGGTAACGTTATTTCCTTAATAACCGGCTGTATATATTCGTTGAGATTATCGCTGCAGGTACGATACTCACGGTTATTCTTGACGACTTTAATTTGAAATTCCTCAGTGCAACACTATATTGTTACTAAATTATATTGTTTCTTTAATTAGAATTTTTCAAGAAATAAAAGAAAACAACATCGAACCAAATAATGCTTATATATTTATCGACACGTGTGTACTGTAATACAAGATGGGACATGTAAAACAGAGATCATCTAATTATCTCTTTCAGCTTCGGTGGTACGAGAAAAATTTTATACGTAATTTAAATGGTTTCAATGGGTGTTATTTGTACTTGTTACATTTACAGCATACTGTACGGTGGGAATGTTAGTGCAAAGAGGAATGCGACAGAGAGAAGAAGTTTCTGGTGGAAGTTACGCGTACAGAGATACGGCCGTATTTTTTAACTGTGTACAGAGAGGTTCCGATTTTGTGGTTGAAATCTTTCGACGTGCTCTCGAGAACCGGGAGAAAATTGCAGACCATCTTTCCTGATGCGAACAACGATGGCCAGTAGGTCTTTCTCCTCTGCATCGTTGCCACAGTAACGTTTCATTCATCATTCTGGGCAACGTGCAGTTTGCGGATTCTGCATTCGTTTCCGGGCGGCGAGCAGTGGCACTTCATTCTTACGGGTTACACCGGATATGCTGAGAGACAGGTCAAACCAGATGCCGAAACATTCGAAGCGTGCCAGCTTCCTCTAGCGTTCCCGCTTTCTCTATTTGTATTTGCCTGAATTTCATGGCCCCGATTTTCCTCGTTAGTCGAGATTCTACGTTTCCCTTCTTTTCCTGTCAGCTCGTCAACGGGAACGAAAAAGAAAATATTCCTCGCATCTCTTCGTTTCCGTGGAATTCCTCGAGTAACGAAGCACCATGCGCATAGGCTTTCATAACGCCACTTTTCTACGGAACACAGAGCTCTTGGTGAACTTATGGACGTTGTATGTCGAGGAATCAGCCGGCAGAACAATCAACAACATCTTGACCGAGTATACGGGTGATTCCATGTTGTTTTTTTGGGGGGAATTTTTATTTTCCTCCATAGATATTTTCTATAAATAGTCTATATTCTCGAAATTCTTCCCTCGAAGAAGCTTTTTGTCCAGGACGAAGTAAACAGAGAACAACTCCAAGAAATATATGTGCATACAAGGTATTTCATTTTAATCAATCCGTGCAATTATCTCCCGAACTATTCGTTACTCAAAAAATGTTTCATATAGAACTTACTTAATCGGAATTTTCTCAATTTTACAGTATAATTAGGAGTGCCTCAGCAACAATTGTTCCAAATAATTATAACCAGACTTTGACAACATTGTCACAGGCTCTATACTTTAAATCGAATGGTATTTCAACGGGAGGAACATTAGAAACCACGCAGTTTCTGATTGGAAGAGTTTCATTTGGGGATTTTAAGAAAGACCACAGCGATTGTTCTGCTCAGTCTGCCGCCAGCGTTCAAAGCGAAAGGATCGAGAGAATCATCCACAGCATTGTCAGAAATGAAGTATTATCAGGTTAGTTGATTATTAAAATAGAAATTCTTTGAATTTTTCTCTTTTAACAATAGTTTATTGTACATTAGAGCATGATTGCATGCAGTAAGCAGTTTAAAATTGATACCTTTAATAAATTTTCAGCTGCTCTAACGTTGCTCATAATATAGTTAGTAAGATTAAATTTATACTTTATTTTTAAGTACTTTGACTCTGGAATGATAAGTATATCCAGTTAAATAACAATTTACACCATTGTTTGTAATTATTGTATGCCTTAAATAATATTATCGTACGTTTCAACTGAATAAAACAGCTCAATATATTAATTTTCCTATGAATTAACCATTGTATTCGATAGATTAGTCAGAAATTGTTTATAACTTTAATTACAAATTGGAAAAATTAATGTTCTTCACGTATGAATTACAGATGGACCATCCAGGACACCCTAGAAATCAAGGAAAGGACCTGAACATCAGGAAAACTGAAGAAATACAATTATTTATGAATAAATCAGTTGTTTATTGTAAAATTATTGTACAAAATGAATATTACAAAAGGTTACAATATACCAGTATTGTTTTACAGCACTTTACACTCTATTTACTGCTCCCTTGCACTCCAAATCCAATTGTTTATGCAATAAACCCATTGTTTAAACAATTTTCCGTTGCAAAAGTCGACAAATTAATGGCAGAAACCACCAGGAATGCGTTTCCATCGAAAATATCGAAAAAATCCCGAAATTCGAGCGAAAACTATGAAAATTAAAGAAAGTTTTCGAAAATCGCGCCGAATATACTCGTTCGGTGCTAAGGTCCTCGAGAATTCCTGGAATTTACGTCATTTCTCGGAAATGACGAAATTTCTGAGAATCGAGTCACTTCCAGGAAGTGACCTCCTATCATATCATGTTCGCCTATTAGAAAGTCACGATTTCCGATTTTCGAAAATTTTTGGTCGAAAATCGACTTTCTAATAGGCGAACATGATATGATAGGAGGTCACTTCCTGGAAGTGACTCGATTCTCAGAAATTTCGTCATTTCCGAGAAATGACGAAATTTCCGAGAATCGAGGCGATTCCGAGAATTGACCAACGGGCCTTCGAAACTTTCAGTTCTCGAGAATTCCTGGAATTTACGTCATTTCTCGGAAATGACGAAATTTCTGAGAATCGAGTCACTTCCAGGAAGTGACCTCCTATCATATCATGTTCGCCTATTAGAAAGTCACGATTTCCGATTTTCGAAAATTTTTGGTCGAAAATCGACTTTCTAATAGGCGAACATGATATGAT